TTTTTTTTTTTTTTTTGCCTCTGGGATTTGCGGCCGCTTGGCATCAACGGGAAAGGCTTCAGATGTAGCTCCTTGCACGGTGTTTGCCAATAGAGCTTGCCCGCTGGTGCATGTACAGCGGACTTTAGGAAAGAGAGAACCGCCACCCATACCCGCCATGCCAGATCACCAATCCACTCTGAGTGCACGTGCGTCAGCAGTCGAGTAACTTCCTCCTACTGCACTGTTGCCATGAAGCAACAAGATACAGCTTCATCTGCGTTAAGAATTGCACTCCTGCAACAAGTTCCGTACTGCCTTCAAGCCTCCCCCGGGACACACACACACACACACACACACACACACACACAGTTATAGAGCAACAAGCTACAGCTTCGGAGGCGTGAAGATGCAACGACCTTCTCACTGCCAGGAAGCCTCTACTGCTGAATCCACTGATGAAACGAGCTTCCCACTGATGGAACGAGCTTCCCACTGATGACCACTGATGAAACGAGCTTCCCACGGGATACACTGATGCAACGAGCTTCCCACTGCCCTTCGACTCCCCACGATGCTTTCTAGAATATTGGCAAGTAAAAGAAGAAGGAGAAAAAAAAAAAAGTGAGCGTCATGGTGAATCCCGTCATCTCCATGCACCCCTCTACTCCCTCCACACGTCAACATCTGATGTGCCGACAGTGCCGTGCCATTTCCGAATCCATCCCTGCAGCATCCTGCCTGACACCAACACCTCCACTAGGCTGTCTGCTCGTTCATCCCCGCAGCAGCCAATCCTTCAGCTTCATCCCTCCAGCACGAGCCATGCCAAGGGTCTGTCTTGCTCGTAGAGCTGATGGTAGGGAAAAAAAAAGAAAAAAGAAAAAATTGTCTTGCATCCACGGTCTGGACAGAGACACATACTCTGCCAGGACACAATCTGCACATGCCAAGGAAAGCAGAGCGATGGCTTATCTGTTTCATCACGCTCGACATGAACGAGTTCCCAAACGCGATGTACATTCCCTATATACCAGTCCGGATACATCTGCATTTTCTGTGAAAGATGAGTGACGAGCACGGACAATGGGAATTCTCATGGCCGCCACCCATCTTGCAAGGCGTGTATAGAGTACTTGGAAATGCGGACGTATGTGGACGATGAGAGGAGGAATATACATGAATATCACTTCAAGAAAAGGAAGAGAGAGAAAAAAAGGGGCAAGATACAGTTTGCAATTGCACTTCGGGCACCCTACCTGGCCAGAGAGCTGGGTTGTATACATTGCCCGAACTGGAATCGCAAACTGTATCTTGGCCCATTCTGCAATTATAACTCATTTTTGTGACGTCCTCGTAGTTTCCAACAAAAGGAACAAATAGCAGGAACAGAAGAAAGCCATGGCACTGGTGCGGTCAGAAACTGCAGCACATGTTGTCACTGCACCCAGTGCACCATGGTGATGGCGTCCATGTAAGCAGCTGTTTGCAGGAGCAGCTGGCCATGGAGCGTCCGCTGCGCCCCTTTTCGACAGTTCAGGCGCGGGCATGGAAAGGCAACCCTATGAATAGTTATCAGTTTTCTTCCCAGATGCATGGCGAGTGTTCGTCTCCCCCGTCTCCAAGCTGTCTCCACAACCGTGGACGCATCCGCAAATGACCATGGGCAGGTCCGACACGCATCCGAACTTGTTTTGGGATAGATACATCCACTGGACCGTGGGCAGGTCGGACATGCATCCGAACTTGTTTTGGGGTAGATACATCCACTGCCCTGTGGAGTCCAGCACGGAACGCAGAATACGAGTTATGAGTGCATCCGAACTCCGTTTTGGACCAGGTACATCCACAGCGCAGTGGAGTAGAGCACAAGCACGTACTGGTGAGGTAAGGCGCAGAACTTGCATTCAGGAGGTCGTGGGGTTCAATCCCCAATGACCTCACGTACGTGCCTGGGGAAGCTTGGTGTTCTGCACGCTAGAGATAACCCGTTGGCCCCCCAAGCTAGGGGCCAACGCAACCCAGCGTTGGCAAGACGTTGGCTGATGTTGTTGGTTGCTTTGCAGCGGGCCTAGCTCAGTTGGTAGGGCACAGAAGTTGCATTCACGACGTCGTGGGTTCAATATTAAAAAAAAAAAAAAAAAAAAAAACAGCCGTGGAGCATGGAATTTTGGCGGGGGCGAGGTCCCACTAGCAAAGAGGATTGGATTCAAACA